CTCTCAGGCTGTGGTTTTTCTGTATATGTTTCTGGAGTCCTGAGCCTGAGCTAAACAAAAGCAGGAGGCTGACTGGGCTGCTGGAGTTTGCAGAGACACGGAGGAGGAGAGAGCCTGGGTTTGCTGCCGCCGCTGCTGGGGGAGATCTGGCTTTTGCAACAGCCCACCCCCTTTGAGATCACTCTGGCCCGGAGTCGGGTGGGGGGCAGCGGGGGGTGGGGGGAAAGTTTGCATTGCAATCCCCCTGCCTTCCTCTCCTTTCTCCCGATCAATGCATATTTGCAAAAGGATTAAGCCACAGATTTAAGCGCCGGGAGCCCATTTCTGTCTTGCAAAGGAGATCGGACTGAAAAACCAAAAGCCAGCTCTGATTTCTTTTCGCCAAGTGGGAAGGTGGTTTATTTTTCTTGCTTTTTGGAGTCAACACCCGTCCCCACCAGCCCTTACCCCACCCTCCCCCCGCAACCCCTTCACGCCCCCCTCCCCTTCCCCGTCCCCATCCTCCCACCACCTCTAAAGAGGCAAGGGGATTTTTTTCCCTCTTCTTCTTTTGGTCTTCTTTTTTTTTCCCCCCTCTTCCCTGTTTATCCTGAAAAGGATTTGAAGACAGCTTGAAGGATAAAAAGCCTGGTTCTTCCCAGGAGCCGAGCCGAGGAGCAGAAGAGGAAAAGCCGAGGGCTGCCGTAGCCTGTGGAAATGGACGAGCAGCCCAGGCTGATGCATTCCCATGCCGGGGTCGGGATGGCCGGACACCCCGGCCTGTCCCAGCACTTGCAGGACGGGGCCGGAGGGACCGAGGGGGAGGGCGGGAGGAAGCAGGACATTGGAGACATTTTACAGCAAATTATGACCATCACAGACCAGAGTTTGGATGAGGCGCAGGCCAGGTGAGATGGAGGCTTTTCTTTCCCTTTCTTGGGTTTTTTTGTTTTGTTTTGTTTTACTCCCTATCGCAGGGGCAAACAATGGGAACCGAATCACCACGGCGCTTTCTTTTAAAAGGTTGTTTCTTTTCCCATTTTGACAAGCAACTACATGGCGGAGGAGTAAAATTTGAAGAAGCGTTGTTATCGAAAGTGTAATCGCCCAGGCTGTGATGTGGCTGTGTATATATTGTGCGTGTGAGTGTGTGTGCGCTTGTGTGCGTGTGAGAATATAGAGGTGCTCATATAGATCCACACAAACACTCAGGCATGCCGAGAATGATCCAAAAGCGGCCCTCGGCACTTTTTACTGCTTTTAAAAAGTGTAAGAGAGCAGAATTGTCAAGTTCAGAGCAGCATTCCATGCCTTCTGGTTGAGGGACTTCGTAACATTACCAAATAAAATGTCCCAAGAACTCTTTATTTGCAAATTTAGCTGGCTCTTTAGCTAATTCGGCGAGTTTGATTTTCTTTCTTGACTTACCCTCCAAAATTATGGTCTTTTCTCCTTTCTCACCTTCACCAAGTCCAAAGCAAATAAACAACAACAAATACAGGGTATTTATTTGTCAGTAGTTGTCAGCCTTCAGAAAATATTTTGCACTTACTTAATTCTGTTTTTAGAAAAAGCTAATGGCAAAAAAAGCGAAGATAATTTTGCTCCTAGGCACGTTTGCTAATTTCAGGAGACTCAGATTTTTAGTTTAACTTTATTGTCTCTTAATTTGAGTTGATTTGCTAGTCTTCCATGACACAGTCAGCTTATGCTTGGTCCTTTAAAAAAAGGATAGGGAACAAAAATCAAGCATGCACTTTCCCCATGCTTCTCTTTGAACCACTTAGAGTGCAACTAAATAGAAATGAAAGCTTGTGCGAATTTTATGTACTTGAATACCGTGGAATATGAATATGTTCATTAAGGAAACATAATTAAGCAACTAGCTTCCAAACTTAATCCACTGCCAGGTATATAGTTCTGAACTCTAGGATTTTATAGAAAATTCTCTTTCAAAATGAAACACAGATTTAAGTGGCAGCCCACTAGCAGCTAGCCCAAGGCCGAAGAACTTGAAGAATTTAAAAAATCTAAAGACCACATATGTCTCTACAATCACTCAGCTTTGTCGAATCCTTGAAGTGTTCTTTAAAATGTGAAAATCTTGTAAACATGTATACAAAAGTACATCAGGTGACTTAGGTGCATGGAGGAGACATGCTGTGTAATCTTGCCTAAGGGAAATAGGAATTTGAGTTGGGAAAATTAGAGGAAATATCTCAGAGCATGGATGTTGTGAATTACACTCTGTTTTAACTGCCAGCGCATGCAACATGTAAACTCAAAAGTACTAAGGTTTACGGGTGCTCCGTAACTTGCAAATGTTAAAAGACTAGAACTATTCTATTTTTTTTAATAAGGGAAAGGTTTTTAAAATTAATTGGTACTCCTTTTGAATTTTATTATCTGATGAAAAGCTAATAAGTATAATAAATGAACAGTTTACCACTGGCAATGCTCTTTTGAATTGGAGCAGATTTCTCTATTACATTGTTCCAGAAAAATACACTCAGACATCAGACATGCCAATAAACTGGCTTAATAACAAGTTTGTGAACTGGTAGGAAGCAGTAAGAATAGACACTCACTACTTTTCTGATGTTTAGTCGCTCTCTTTTTTTGTGAAACTGAGGACTAGCTTAGCTCAGCCGGTCCCCCCTTTAATGGCCTGGAGCACTGAGCGATCAAATATAATTTGGGGATAGGGAAGTTTTCAGTTCTCCTCCTATAATCCCATTTGTGTAACTATAGAAATGCAATATTTCTATATAGCTGTATGGGAGTTTTTGTTTGCATTTGGGCCTATGTGTAAGACTACAATTAGTGAAAACTGTTTTAAAAGAGGAAGAAAGGGTGAGATCTTTAAGAATAAAGTCTTTCATCTTTTTTTTCCCTACTCCACATGAGAACTATTCTGCTGCTAAGCTTTCTTTTTGGTTAAACAATGTAACTACTTTAGCAATACTATGTGTTTTTTTTTTCTTTTCCTAGTCACAGCTTTATAAATGTGTATTTGTTGATTCCAAAGTGAACAGTTACTATTTTAAGTACCATCTATGACATCTATGTGTTAATTTTGATAGTCTTTAATTTTGAGGTTATTACTCCCAGTTGTACAGTAGCTAGAGCATGCTTGTAAGCTCTGTTTTTCGTGAGGATGTGTTTCTTTTTTTTTTTTTTTTTTTTAACTTTTCAAAAGGATCAAAAAGAATTGCATATGTTTTGAGTGCCAGGGCTTTCCATTTATTTTCACACATTAATTTCAGTCAGTAAACAGAATTCCCTTAACTAATAGCTGATATGATCAGTATTTTGTTTCCAAAACAGTATCATTCTGCTAAGTGATTCCATAGTAAAGTAGAAAGAAAGGTATTGTTTGGTTCCTCAAGTGCATTCTGAGTACAAACACACAGACACCAGAATCAGGTAAATCACTAATCTAAAAGGCACAATTGTATTTATTTTTCCCCCAATGGGTGCAAGGTCCTAATTGTAAATAATTGAATTTCAACACCTGCAAATAAGCAGTGTGTGCGCAAGAGGCATAATGTGAACACAGAGAAATGAATTTATTCCCCATATGGGTATGTTTGCCCCCTGGCAATGCATTTCCATACTCTTTAACTTGGGGACTGAAATTTTATAAATTGACAGTTCTACTCAGAAGACCTTTCAAGCATCTTGTGTTTATGAGAATACAGGGGCATCTGCGGAATGAATTCAAACACATGGATGAATTAAATTTGAAAACAGAGACGCCCACACATACGCTCACACCAAGAGGCAGACAGCTCTTAGGCTGTGGTCGTTGGGTAGATTATATAAAACTGCATTTGGCTTTGCTGTATTCATTGTCCTGGGTGGGATTATGGGTTAAGACTTCCACTTTGATTGAACCATTATAAAAAAAAAAAAAAACTCCCCCAATTGGCATAATTTAGATTAGTTCTGTTCTGTACTTAAATCGCTACACTCTCACTGCTAATTGACATTATTTCTTGTTCTACGGTGGGACTTGTATAGTAAGTCATAAAAACAGTCGAAGCATGCCACAGAGTTATGCTCTGTCTGTAATTTTCCCTAAATGTTCAGATTTTTTCCCCTTTGCATTATCAGTTGTTCAATCTTGAAAACCCACGTAAGCTATCATGTTGTTTTTTTTTCTTGCAGAAAACATGCTCTGAACTGCCACAGAATGAAGCCTGCCTTGTTTAATGTGTTATGTGAAATCAAAGAAAAAACAGGTAGGAATGAGAATTCCAACATTTTGACATTTTCTTTGGCCAACTGAATCCTTAACCAGCAATCATAAGCATCTTATTTAAATATAAAAATTCAGAATAAAAGTGCAATCGTGATTGTCCAGATACTTCTAGTAGGAAGTCCTGCTTTCTTTAAAAGAAAGCATCAAGTTTCTTTGACAGTTACTTTCAAGCATTATAGATTTATCTTCCTTAACTCTATTGTCAGTTTTATTTTTTTTGAAACTAGAGTTAAAATATAGGTTTTAAAAGGAAATGTATAGAATGGTGTGTCTTTGTGGAAAAAATATGAAAGTAGAAGTCTGTTTCCCAAAGGAGTATATTTTGGCTCGTAATTAAAATCCTATTTATTTATTGTTGTATGTGGGGGGGCTAAACTGTTTAAGTTTCTTTTCTCTCTCTCTCTCTCTCTCATTCTTTTTCCTAATTACACAGCAGACTAGAGGTTCTCAAAAGAGGCTGGTGCCAATACCTTTGTGGAAAGCACACTACAACATTGGGCTATCAGTATTTGAATGGCCTGTGATTTTATAGCAAGGGGAATTGTTGGGTTTAGAAGAGTATACTACCTTGCAATCACTCACTCTGTTGTTTTTCTACTTCCTAGACCTCATATCATGGACTACCACACTTATAACACATCCCAGGAGGGCATTTAAATTTTAAAGCAACAATTAAAAAATAGCAGTCATCAATCAGAGGTGTTCTTAAACAACAGATGCTCAGGGAAGGACATTTAGCAACATCTTCTTGTTTGTTTATTTCAATCCTTAATTTTCTGAAGTGGGTAAATCTTTGTCTTGTAAGAAGAGTTGAGGAGGCCATGTGAAATCGGGGCTAAAGATGAGGGACAGGGTGGTTACATAAAGCGGGAGCGTCTGCTGGGCTCTCACTTGCCTGCTCGCTTTAAAGCCCAGAAGTACCTGACATCCTATTTATTTATTTATTTATTTTTTACAACAAGGAGTGCAACAGTCAATAATTCATATCTAAACCATATAAGCAAGGGCATGACATGAATGAAAGTGACAATAAATATGATTGCATGTCCGGTTGATATACATTGATAGTTACACATAAAAAAGGAATGGGGGGCATTGAAGGTGGCTTTCTCTTTTCCAGCTCTCTTGAGTTATGCCTTTAAAAAATAGTTTTAAGATGTGACTGTTGATTGAATATGTAATTACTTGGGTTTTCACATGTATATAAATTTAGTAAGCAAGTCCTTTGTTGTCTCTTATTGGTGTTGTGCATAACGTCCAAGACAAAGCACCTGAAAAGTGGTGTTCAGACCTTTGAATCTTCCCCGTTGCTTTGCCAAAGACCAGCCTCATTGCCAAGCCGATAATTGCATAATTTTAGCTGTGAGACACCTTTTAAGACATTTGTAGATTGTGCATACAAATATCAAAAGAGCTTTTTTTTTTTCAGTTTGTCACACTTTCTAGGTTTTTTTTTCTATTAGCCAAGAATAGGGAAACAAGCGTGTTTATGTGTGTATATATCCTTTTTTTCTTTTCTCCTCTTTTTTTCCTCTTCTTTTTCTACTTTGATCTCTGATGTTTATTTACTTTGCCTATGTGCTCGAATTTGTTGGAATTTGTTTCTGATTGAGTATGCCTTCCTGCTGGTCTTAGTTTATACAATATAGGATCAAGATATAAAGGGATATGTAATAACACAAGCTAAGGAGAGTTTTATTTTTTGAAAACATTTTATTAGATTTTGAGACAGCTAGAGTCATTAAGTGTACATTGTGGCCAATGTGTTTAATTCTAGTTTTCAAATTAAAACCTATGAGGCAGTAGATCAAAGTGGGTGTGTGTAAACAGAGAACTGGTTCAGGTGTTGGTTAGAGTTTGCTGCTTGTTGATATTGGCTAAAGTCTAGCGAAAGGGAAACTTGTGTTGGTCAAAATAGTGTCCTCAATGTGTCATTTCTAGCTGGAGTACGTATTGTGCTTTTTGAAAAAAAATTGCCAATACATATAGTGTGTGGAGACTTTTTGAATATTTAAGGTAAACTTTAGTGTGCCGTCTCTGGAATTGTATATTTTAAAAAATAGTTTAGGAAATAATGTACGTGGAATGTGTCATTGTCTTTTGTATTGAGGGACTGGAAGGACACCTTTGGGTAAAAATTTAAAAAAAAGAAATGATGCCTCCCTCTTACTCTTCAACCCAAGTGCTGGAGGGATTGAGGGAAGAAACCAGAAGTCAGCTGTGCTATGTTGGAAAGAAGACTTCATTCTAATGCTTGGTACTACTCAGCATCTGAGGCTCCCTGACATTTTGCACCCAGCTTCCATGTGATGGATGCTTGTGTCCAAGTGATACAAAGTTTCTGTAAAGTTGGATGAGCATTTTGCAGTTTTTTTCCTCTTTTTTTTTTATTTATTTTTTTTTTTTTTGCTCTTCTCTTTTCCAGAGCTAATGAAAAGATCCCTTGAACATCCGTTCAAGAATGTCCTTTTATTGTTTTGAGACATTTCCTATTGTTACTTTCAAGCTCTTACCATTTAATGAGTGTTTTGGAGTAGCCAACCTGAAGCTTTGTGGAAGGCACTTAACTTAGGGTGGGCTTTGTTTGTGTTCCACTGTAAAGTTCACACTTTGGCTCACCTAGGCAGAGCTCTGGAGAATTGCATTCACTCAGATGCTTTTGTTTTTTTGACTTTTGTTGATGATTGTAGTTGGAGGACTCAGAACTAAACAGGGAAACTGAGTTCTCTCATCAAGTGTTTGGAACTTTAAAAAACACACACACTCATATGCCTCATCCCCGAAGTAGGCAGCACATCTGAATTACAGTTGATTGATGGATATTTAAGTCAGAAATTATTGTCAGGATATTTAAAAAGAAGAAAAAAAATCCATGTGTGTGCTTGCTTTGGAATGTAGACACATTTTTATTTTGGTAATTTTTGCTTTTCAAAAATGAATGAGAAGAGAGCGGAATGCTAGGGAAATGCTCACGTGGCAGATTTTAAACAACAGCAAAACACTGTTTAAACCATGTGTATTTTAGATGTGACTTTTATCTGCATGCTCTGCCTAGAAACATAGATATTTGATTTAGAGTTTGGATCATTTATTTTATTCCTTCCTTCCTTCCGTCCTTCCTTCCTTCCTCCCTCCCTCCCCCCTTCCTTTTTCTCTTCCTTCTTTCCTTCTTTCTGAACCATTTCTTGTCTTCTGACAATAGGCTGGGTTTTGCTGTGCACATATGTGGTGCCCACTGAGTTTTGTGGGGTAGAAGAGAAACAGAAAAAAGTCAAAAATTGCATTTCTGAAAAACAATACATTTTTAAAATACTTCTTGAATTGTTTTATTCTGTGTCAAATTCATGCAGCCTTAAAAAGTAGGAAAAGGTAAAAATTAGGTGCCATTTTTTAAGAAGAGTATTTATAGGTAGCAATGAAGAGTTGCGATTATTGTATTTTTAATTTTAGAGTGAAATAGCTATGTATGGCACTTTTCAGCCAATTTTCCCCGGCACATAATCTTCACCGAAGTTAAATCAAATCATTGGAGGAGGTTAAAGTTATTTTTTGCTTCCTTAACACCCTTTTGTTCTCTCTCCTTTTCTCACTGTGTTCAATTAGCACCCCCATCCCGGAACTGTGGGGTGTATTTTTAAGTCTACTACTGTATTTCTTTTTTGACACCCTCCTTTATTATTCTTGTCTGCCCCTTCCTTTCATATAGCAATTACACTGTGGGGCTTTTACTCTCTTCTCTTTTAAAGCATGAGAGAATAATTTTGTGTTTATGTGTCTAAGTTTATCTGCATGGCTTGGGGGACCACTGTGGAAGAAGGCTGTATATTATAGGGACATGATTCTGATGGCATTAGTCCTTAAGCACCACAGGACCCACATAACTTGGGACAGTTTAGAGCAGCTCCCAGTTATAGTCCTTCCGGAGTTGAGGCAGGAGGAACTTTTGTGGATGTTCATCCACAGCAGGCAAATGCAAAAACTTTTCTTGCTGAGAGGAGATTTGGACCTTGTTATTGCTTTTTTTTCTCCCTCTTTTCCTTCCCTTTTATTTTTATTTCATTTTTCTTCTTGTTTTGTGGAAGGTGCTAATAAGGAAAGAGGCTCAAACAGGCCCCGGCGGTGGCGGGGTATAAGTTAGTTTAGCCTGCTCACCACCCTGCATGCAGGCAGACTGTTAAAGCAGAAGCCATGTGGTTGACTCTGCTATTTAGGAAGACGCGGATGCGAGGTGTAGACTGACAGCGCTTCTCTGAGAGCACAGTGGAAGGTGAATTTGTGCCATGATATGTGCCTTCTCTCCAGGAACTTTGGCTTACTCCCTGTGAGAAGTGGAGGGAACCGAGCCCAGGAGCCATTTGGTCATAGCTCCCAGAAGGAGAGCTTTGCAAAGGCACCGTCACTTGTTCTAGCCATGGGGGTGTGTGTGACGCTTGCATAGAAAGCGGGGAAGCTTTCACTGGGACTGGAAGAGGCTTTGTGAGAGGGGAAATGAGGAGAGGGATGTGTGACCTGCAGAGGAGCTGGGACAGAAGGTGTGAACTCCCGTTGGCCCCAGGCTGTGCCTGGGGGCGGGGCTCTACCTGTGTGAACTTAGCACCTTGCTCGGGCCAGGCCCATTCACCTGCTCTCCCCCTGTGTTCTGTGGACGCCAGGAACTTTCTGTTGTTGTTGGATAAATTACAGAAATTCCCCCAAGCAAGTGAAGAAACCCAGACCTAGATACTGAGTACATGTAAATAGGAAGGCATTTTAAATACTTCTTTTGAGATAGTTTACTTAGGTGGTGTAGGAAAGCTTGTCTTTAATTTTGGTTTCAAATATCATTTAGCAGGAAGCTGTTATGTTCCCACTTGGACTTGGTGAGGTAGATGTAAATATGGACTGATTACTTTCCTCCCTCCCTCCCTCCCACCCTTCCTCTTCCTTCGTTCCTTCTTTCTTTCCTTCAATTCACCCGAAGTACCATGTGTTAGGAGCAAT